TTAGTCTTTTTAAAGAAAACTTTCTATAAGCTTTCTTAAAAGCAAAAAGGTTAGGGAATATTAGGAATTAAATATAAGTGTAAGATAATTCTTGCTAGTTCTCACTGGACACAGATCTCTTGCTTGATCATGTACTAGAACTAGTGCCTCTAAGTGTCCTTTTTACATTTAGTTACAAGGAGTGGCTTTTTCACTAGATAGTCAGTTTAACTTTAGAAAAGAAGATGGTACTTTCATGGAAATGAGAATCATAATATATTTGTTATAATGTTGAGGGGGTTCTTTTAAAACACATATTTTTAGGGATATACTGCTATTGCTATGACTATAGTAGATACATGGTGAGAGCGGGAACACACCAGGTTGAAGACTCAGCCTGTTTTCCTTAGTCTAGTTCAAGAGCCAGAAATGTGTGTGTTTTCAGGTATCATTTCTTAAATTCATACTTCGTTAGACTTCATGTACTCCCCCAAAATATGTGTTATAATGTACTAAAATAATCTATACTAATAAAAGCCTAGGTGGCTCTGACAGGTTTGGCTCAGTGGATAGAGCATCAGCCTGTGGACTGAAGGGTCCCAGGTTTGATTCCGGTCAAGGGCATGTACCTTGATTGTGGGCACCTCCCCAGTGGGAGGTGTGCAGGAGGCAGCTGATTGATGTTTCTCTCTCATCAATGTTTCCAACTCTCTATGCCTCTCCCTTCCTCTCTGTAAAAAAAGCAATATAATATATATATTTTTAAAAAGCCTAGGTGGTCCTCGCGCTCTAATGCACAGTGTTGTCACAAGATGGCCACGTGCACAGCAAATGTGGGGCCCGGCGGAAGAGGCGGGTCAAGGCAAGGGAGGGAAGTTGTGGGTGATCAGGCTGGCAGATTGTGAGAGAGATGTTCGACTGCTGGTTTAAGCCTGATTCTGTGCAGATTGAGCCTAAACCGGCAGTCAGACATCCCCCGAGGGGTCTCAGATTGGAGATGGTGCAGGCTGGGCTGAGGGACACCCCCCTCGAATTTCGTGCACCAGACCTCTGGTCTCGACACTAATAAAAGAAAAATATGCAAATTGACCATATCTCCATGACACCCACCAGCCAATCATGAATGGGTATGCAAATTGACCCAACAAAGATGGCAAGTTAATTTGCATATGCAGGTGCAGAGCAAAGGCTTCTGAAGGCTCCAGCCCAAGCGAGGACTGAAGACTGAAGACAAGCTGAAACCGGTTTGGCTCAGTTGATAGAGCATCGGCCTGTGGACTGAAAGGTCCCAGGTTCGATTCCGGTCAAGGGCATGTACATTGGCTGCGGGCACATCCCCAGTGGGGGCTGTGCGAGAGGCAGCTGGTCGATGTCTCTCTCATCGATGTTTCTGGCTCTCTATCTCCCTTCCTCTCTGTAAAAAATCAATAAAATAAAATAAAATAAATAAAATAAAATAAAATAAAAAAGACTGAAAACTGCAGAGGCTTGGCTTCTCCGCTGTAACCAGAGCAGAGAAGCCAAGCCTCAAGTCTTGGCCTCTCCGCTGAGGCTGGAGTGAAGGCCTGGATCCCAGGTGCCAGAAGCAAGCTGGTGCCCGCAGCCAGGGGAAGGAAGGCCTATTGCACAAATCTTCGTCCAGTGGGCCTTTAGTTTAATAATAAGTCTCTAGATCTAACTAAAAATGTATAGGAAATACAAGGGCTAGAAGAACATATTAAGTTCTGTCACTGTTCAGAATGTGAAATTCTACAGGACAAATGACTTGAGTTTCTGCAACAAGTGAATAGTGGTAATGGAGGAGAGGTTGCTAAATTTGTTTTAGATTAAGAGACGTATGTATCAGTTATATGTCAGTAAAAAAAAGAGAGAGACTTAAGAGATATATAAAACAAATGTAATGTTTGGACCTTGTTTGGATTCTAATCTGGACAGACAATTTTGAGACTACCAGGGAAATCTGCATATTGACAGAATATTAGATGGTGTCTTAAAACTGTATCAATAGGTGTGATGAAAGTTTTGGGGTTTTATTTTTAAGAAATAATTATTTGTTAGTGATTTATATCTCTGAGATTTATTTAAAATATTCTATCAAAAAAGAAACAAAGAAACTTGGAGTTAATAGATAAAACAAGAGTGGCATAATATTGATAATTATTGAAACTGATGAATACATAAGGTTTGTTACATTATTCTCCCTAGATTGGAAGTTTTCCATAATACACACTCACACAATGAGAAGGGAAAAAATTGTTTACCGCTATAACAGTAAACAAAACTATACAGGATGGCTGAAGCCCATTTGGCTCAGTGGATAGAGCTTTGGCCTGAAAGTTCCCAGGTTCAGTTCCGGTCAAGGGCATGTACCCTGGCAGCTGATCGATGTTTCTCTCTCATCGATGTTTCTAACTCTCTATCCCTCTCTCTTCCTCTCTGTAAAATATCAATAAAATATATTTTTTTTTAAAAAAAAACAACTCTACACGGTATTCCCAAAAATGTATACACACTTTTTCTGATAACTGATGTTTCTTTCTTTTCAGATTTAACCTATTGGAATTAATAATGATTCAAAGTGTGTATGCATTTTTAGGACACCCTATATTTATTTTGAGAACTAGGGGCCCAGTGCATGAATTTGGAAATGTATGCTAAGCATAGGTACTACACAGAGTTCAATTGAGAAATATAAATGCTGGAAGAGCAATGTTTCTCATAATCTATATACTCTCTGTCAAACTGCAGAAAGAGATCATTTTCTTGAAGTCATTGAAAATATAAAAAGAACATGTTTTCTAAAACATTTTATTAAAGTTACCCATCTTTTGGTGAAATGAGTAACCTCTAATCGTAATAGCCATTTTCGTTAGTGATTTCTATCCTAATTCTTAGCATGTTTGTTTTCTGAATTCATTTGAAACAGTTGACAAATGTAGTTTTGACAATTCAGAAAAGATATTTTCTATTTTATAAAATCATTTCTTCATGTAAAATTTGAAAAGCCACCAAAGTGAACATTAATTTAAAGCTATTAATTGTATTAGCACTTTTATGCCATTTGACAGCAACCAGTATTAATATTAAAATTCAACTTTTACCTAAGGTTTTATTATCAATATTATCAACCAAATTGAATAATTAATTAAAGGGTTATTAAAGTAATCCATAGAAATTAAATATCTTATATAAAAGGAAAAAAGATAAAATCCTACATTGTTTTAAAATATTAATATTAATGAAAAATATTAATGAAATAAGATGCTGCTTTATGATGTTTTGGTTTGTTTTGTTTTCAACTAAGTAAGGATTTTTTCCCCAATAAGTTAAAGCATTATTAACTTCCCATTCTCCAATAATAGATATTTTTTTCCTATTTTCTGCCTAATAACTAAAGCCAACTTTTCATTGTTTTTGGTAACATGACTAAAGTAATAAAAGCCCATAAAGTCCAATAAAAGATATTAATTTACACCTGAACTCTTTGACCAAACTTTTACCAAAGATGCTACTGAGAAGTGAACAGATTTGAATTGTGTTGCTTTTTGTTTTTCTATGGTAACATATAGGTGAACAGTTAAAGCAATAAAGAGAAAGAAAGATGAAGTTCTTAATCGAACTAGAGAATAAGTTTCTGAATGTTTATCTCTCACATCCCTTATAAATTTCTTATTGGCAGGAATTGTCTTACTCTTCCTTATATTCCAGACACATCACCCAGTGTAGTTCACTTAAGCCAGAATAGATGATTTATTCAGAAATGTTAATAGCTTCCATAAACTGTCGTCATTACTTACTACCTTCAGGGAAAACAAAATGAAAGTGGAATATACAAAATAAAGAGCAAAGTGTCTATTCTACCTAATAATGTTTGAGGGAAGGGCTCAGGTGTTAAACAATTTTTAATTATATCTGTATTAGAGGCCTGGTTCACGAAATTCATGCACTGATTGGGGGGGTGTCCCTCAGACCAGCCTGCACTCTCTTGCAGTCTGGGACCCCTTGGGGGATGTCCACCTGCCAGCTTAGGCTCTCCACATTAGTTGGACATCCCCCGAGGGGTCCTTAACGCTGCTGCGGAGGCAGGAGAGGCTCCCACCACGGCCGCTGCGCTCACCAGCAGTGAACCCGGCTGCTGACTGAGCAGCGTTCCCCCTGTGGGGAGCTCCTGCATTGAGCGTCTGCCCCCTAATGGTCAGTGTGCATCATAGCGACTGGTCATTCTGCCATTCAGTTGATTTGCATATTAGGGTTTTATTATATAGGATTCTATGTTACTTATTTTTAGTATATATTATGTGACCAAAAAACAGCTCACTTTTCAGTTTCGGATTTTGCAAATGTGGAAATATCAGCTTGTGAAAAATATAACACTTATAAACCTATAGCCAGCCTAAAATTGCTTTTCATCAACATGACACTAATAACTAGAAATTTCAAACTCTGGAGGTGTGTATACACACACACACACACGATTAACAGAAGTACTTATAGAAACCATATCGATAGCATGTGCATGTGTGTTTTGTTGATAATTAGCAACCACATGATATTGTAACTCAGTATTGATAGCTGATAAATAAGGGTGAGGAATTAAGAATTAGAAACTAGAATAATAAATTGCTCATGTGCCTTTAAATGTCTTTTTTAAATTGAGTTCTTACTAAAATAATAACTATTATAAGTTCAATGGCCTTTTTTTTTTTTTTTTTAAATCATTTGCTTTTATTTCATACTGGAAACTGCCAAACAGATAACATCTAAATGTATCTTTTTCAATATGACAAAGTTACACAAGAAGAGAATCCCTAGCACGTAAAGAAAAATGCAATTATTTTCTATTCTGAATCTCCAGACTGCTGTTTTAGAAAATCATATCTGATTATTTGCTCAGCAGAAGATTATTGAGTTGATTTAGCTGTGATTTTACTTAACAAAGCTTCAACTGCATTCCTACTGTGGAGTCCGAAGAAGGTAGAGAGATATAAATGATACATTCAAACTGTGATTTTTGTGAACAGGACCATCGATGCACCCCTCGGAGCTAATAGCGGAGATGAGAAACAGTGGATTTGCACTGAAACGAAATGTACTGGGGAGAAACTTGACCGCAAATGATCCATCACAGGTAATGATCTTTTTATCAGTAAGCTGAAAATGCCTAAAAATCTAAATGTGATTGCTTGTGAATTGCTACTTAATGTTTTCCAATATGCATATACCCATGGGAGAGCAAAATAGAGCAAAGAAAATGCCTAAGTATATTTTGATTTTGCTTCTTTATTATTTTAACTTAAATGAGAAATTGTTTTTAAACCTATATTTTAATAAATGAAACTGCTCCTCTGGGTTTAAGTGGATGAAATATTAACTGAACTGGTGATGAGGTGGTTACTTTTCCTTCGTGCTAACTTACCACTGAAGTGACATAAATAGAACCAATGGGAAGAAATGTATAAAAGAAAACTCCTAAAAAGTATAGGAAATACTTTAAACATTAATTTATAAACCTTACACAGATCCAGAAAATGGTGGCATGCAAAGCGTTATAGATACCCTAATGCAAACCATTTATTTTATTTAATCAGGAAACTGGACCCAGGAAAGTTAAGTGATTTCCCTGAGGTTATGTGGCTGTTCTGAGACAGACCTAAGACTAAAACCCAGACTCCCACTGGCGCAAGCTGTTCTGCTCTGAAAAGAGGCACGTTACTTTTCAAACAATTCTGGGGATGATTCATGTAACCTATATAATCATATACTTGTACTATTTGATACGTTTTTATATGAATTTGCTAGTCATATATTTGATAATATACTGTTGAAATTATAAAGGCTAAAATTGTGGAGGTTTTCATCTTCCCCAAAAGTTAATGATCTTCTTGGTTTTAATATTTCATTAAATTTAAAATAAAACATTTAAACCCTCAAGTATTTAAATTCAAACTCAAGAGACAGAAACATTTTATCTGTTTCTCTGTCATACTCTTCCTGATTAAAGTTTGTTAGTGCCGGCAAAGCTGTCATTTTACCCTCTTAGTGTGTAATGATACTCTTTAATTTACATTTCCCCCACACACATACACACACACACACACACACACACACTTTACATTTCAAAATGTCACATTCATCCACAGTGTGTCTCTAATACAAAATTTTTTATTTACAAATATTTTCTTTCCTGAATGATAACTAACTTGTTTTATAATATAGCAATGTAATGATCTTTGTTGCCTCAGGAATATGTTGCAAGTGAGGGTGAAGAAGATCCAGAAGTTGAATTTTTAAAGTCACTAACAACCAAACAAAAACAGAAACTTCTCAGGTAATGAAAAAATACACGTTTAATAAATTCTCTAACATTTTTTGTGTGCTCCATCTTAGTATCATATTCAACTCTGATCCTAAGAGCTCATGAAGGTACGTAAGCCAATGTATCACATTTATTTAATGATTTATTCTTCAGCTATAGTCATACAGTTTTGTCTTTCAGTAATATAAAAATGAATCTAAGATTATATACCCAGATTACACCACACACAAAAAATAGCACTTTTCAGAATACTTAATTTGGAAATAGATTTATTTGTAGGATTTACTTGATATAGTAGATTTGTATATATATCTTTGCACTTATTCTTAGAAAATATTCTGAGCCATGTATTGCTCTTTTATATTTTGTAAGATTTTATGAGGAATGCTGACAAATGCTTAAATTTAAGGTAAATATGAATTTTGTTAAACATATTACCTTTGGATTAAAAAATCCAAGAAATGTCTATTGAGTCCAATAGAGGGAGCTCATGATGTAGGGTTTTGAGAATGGTTAGACAAAACCCAGTGAAAGACGTTTTTATTCCAGAATAACTTAAACATATCATATAAACAAGTTACTCCTCTGAGAATGTGAAATACTCTTTAGAAATTCAGAATGCCTTAATAGAATTTTTCTAATAATTTATAAATCTAAACATTGTTGAAAACCAGTATGTGATTATTTTGTTTTATATAACCAAAAAACAGTATAAAAAATGTAAAGTGTATTATTACTCAGAATTTCTGGAGAATATACTTTTGAATTTTTATAAGTAATATTGATTAATATTCCCATAATTTAAAATAGTACATACATAAAATTATTTTTCTTGATTATAGTTATATATTTGAATTTGTAGTAGGTCCAATTAATGAATGTTACAAACCTTTAAATCAGGATAACCATTTATGTAGAGTGCTATATCATTTCAAATTCTGATTCAATAGGGATTTTTTTAATAGAGAATTATCTTTATGCATTTAATTTTTATTTACATTTAATATGAATAATTTAAGAGGAAGAAAATAATTTGTCATTTAATAAAGTATGTGTTTATATTTGAATACCTCTTTCAATAGCTTCTAAGGAAATATATTGTCTTTCAAAATTTTGTTTGTCAATAAAAGGACTATTTTTAGTCTCTTACCTTTTTTTTTTTCAATAACAGGAAATTGGATCGACTTGAGAAGAAAAAAAAGAAAAAGAAAAAAGATAGAACAAAGAAAAAGCTTCAGAAGTGTAGAAATAAACACAAAAAACATAAACACAAATCCTCTTCCTCCTCCTCCTCCTCTTCATCATCCTCCTCTTCCTCTTCCTCCTCTTCCTCTTCTTCCTCTTCCTCCTCCAGTGAGACTTCAGAAAGCGGTAGTGAGAGTGACAACAAAGAAAAAAAAATACAAAAGAAGAAAAGAAAGAAAAACAAATGTTCAAGAAATAAAAATGACCTGGGAGAAAAGGACAAGTCTAAGAAGAGAACATTTTATGAAGAACTTTCTAGCAATCGTCGTAATAAGGAGAAAGCCAAGGAAGAGCCTAGATTTTTAAAACAAGAGAGTTCTAGGGAAACTAGCAAATGGAATCATTCTAATTTTGACAGAAAGTCCAGAAGCCATAACCGCAGCCCAGAGAAGAGAGGCTCTGAAAGAAATGAGAGGAGCAGGAGAAGCCGGAGCAGAGATGAGAGGAGGAGAAGTCGGAGCAGAGATGAGAGGAGCAGGAGAAGCCGGAGCAGAGATGAGAGGAGCAGGAGAAGCCGGAGCAGAGATGAGAGGAGCAGGAGAAGCCGGAGCAGAGATGAGAGGAGCAGGAGAAGCCGGAGCAGAGATGAGAGGAGCAGGAGAAGCCGGAGCAGAGATGAGAGGAGCAGGAGAAGCCGGAGCAGAGATGAGAGGAGCAGGAGAAGCCGGAGCAGAGATGAGAGGAGCAGGAGAAGCCGGAGCAGAAGTCATAGCAATGACAAGCAAAGGAAAATAAGAAAACGGTCTTAGCAAAGTCCCAGTAAAGAGTGGAATAGAAGAAATGATACTAGAAGCCACGGCATAGATATGTACAGAGGAGGAAAAATACACAGAGAAAACTCGGGAGATGAGCATACCAGAGTGACATAGAATGAACAAGTAGAGAGAATAGAGACTGCATGTGACAATTGGGAATAAAAATATCTCTACTTATCAAAACTTTTAGCAAGGGCTAATATGTACTTTTGTCTTTCTAATAAAAAAAAAAAAAAGCTCTATTTTAGTTTTCAGTCTCTGTGAACTGTCATATCAAGAACAAAACTTCATAAATCTCATAATGAACTTTGCAAATATTTGTAAGTAATCTATTTTGGAGCTGTAAAAATATTTTCTGTTGATAAGTATTTCTTGTGCCCTCTATACCAGATTAAAAGAAAACACAACTCTGTGACATTGTCTTTGTTCTGAAATATCATTAAAAGAATGACAGTACAATTGAATGGGTATAATTTAATTTTTAATTTAAATGTACTAGAAGCAAGATGTAAACATTATTGAAATTCACTAGTATGAATTAAGTATTTCTTTAAAACTTTTAAACTCCCTCATGTGTTTTGTTCTCCAGAGTACACTATCTACATTTGGATGATATATTAATTTTCTATGCTGTCATAACAAATTACCTCAAACTTAAAGCAGTTCAAAAACATTCTACAGTTCTGGAGATGAGAAGTCTAAAATGGGTTTCACTGGAGTAACATAAAAGCAGGGTTGGTCCTTTTGGAAGGCCCTACTGGAAAGAAAACCTGTTTGCTCGCCTATTCCAGAGGCATTCCTTTGCTCCTGGTCCCTTCTTCCATCTTCAAAGCTAACAAAGGCAAGTCGAGGGTCACAGATAATTACTCTGACACTCTGACATTCTTCAGCCCTCTTTTATGGACCCTTGTGATTATAATGAGTCTACCAGGAGAATTGTCCTATTTTAAAAATCAATTTACAATCTTAATTCTCCTTTGCTACTTAACCTAACATCTCAAATTCCAGGGATTAGGATGTATGTATCTTTAAGGGACCATTATTCTACCTACCACGAGTGGTCTTTCTACTACTGGCTTTTAGCTATTAGAATTCACTTCTAAAGGTTAAGTATGTAATGTCACAAATGGACCAATGTAAATTCTTCTATATTTTATGACTATAGGTATATAAGGTTTATTTAAACTTTGTCCTTATGTTTCAAATGACCTGGTAATGAGAAACTATAGGGAAAAAGTAGTAAAAACTAAGTATCATGCAATTCCAAAAAAGACATGCTATACATCCTGGACACAAGTATTTTTTATCAGGGTTCCACATTTTTAACGTTATGTAATACAATACAGATACCGATTAGATAGTTTTGAGGATTGGCAGCCATAATTTTGTAAATTCTATAAGAAATAAGTTTGGAAGAAGAGGTAAATGAAACCACTCCTTGTAGTCTGTTATATATGTCTTGTATATCACACACAAATGTCCTCTGATTTAGAAGCAACTAACTAAAGGTGTAAGAAACCGTCTGATTATTTAGGTTTTTCAGAGAATTGGTTGGGGAAGAACTTGAATTCCTTCTAAAGTTATCCTTTAATAACTTACAATGCACCTAAAAGATTCTTTTCCTTCATTTAAAAAAAGAAAGCATGAATTTGAAATTGATAAAGATGCTAATTTACATCTTGAATTCATTAGTGTTGTACTAATTATTTTCTATCATATGCCTTTTTATACTTTATAATGTCAAAATCTATGCAATATCTACTGCCTTAAAGGATTTCTGAAGGGAAATACAGTGTTCATGAAGAGAAATGTTGAAATTCATCCTGTAATTTAAAGTGAATAAAAGAAATACATTATTTTTTACACTTTTTTCATTTGACTTTCACAAAAGGAATTGTTTTAAATCTCTGGTTTAATTATCCCTCATTATTAGACTGAGAAAAATATAAACTGATTTACCAATTTATTCATCCAGTGGTGAGAAAAATTCCCGTGTATTTTTGGAAGATACTGATTTACTGGCTTTCAGCCTTGGTCACCCAAAGGTGCTAGACAGCCCCCAAGGGGCTAGCATATCAACCTTGCAAACTGAAAAACTGAAAAAAGGCATTACACTTATCAAGGTAAGAGCTTCAAAGAGGCTTGCCTTTTCTGCATATTCTTGGTATGGATAAAAGGATTTGAAAGTGATTTTTAAAATAAAAATGTTAGACATCTAATTCTACTTTTGCTTTTGAAATATGAGGTCGAACTAGAGATTAACCTCATCATAAAAGGATGTCTCCTTGCCCTGGCTGGTTTGGCTAATGGATAGAGGTCGGCCTGCAGATTGAAGGATCCCAGGTTCAATTCCTGTGGGGGCGGTGGGGAGGCAGGTACCCAGGTTTCGGGCTCGATCTCCAGTAGGGGGCATGCAGAAGGCATCCAATTACTGATTCTCATTAGTGATGTTTCCTCTGAAATCAATAAAAAATATATTTTTAAAAAGGATGTCTACTTGTATGTGTAGAGCGCCACCTAATACTATAAACCAAAAAGGAATCCTTCAAGTATAATGAATATTCAAGAACAAGAGTCCTCAACAGTGACATTGAAAAATCTGATGTTTGTCATTCTTACTTTCAACAGACAAATTCTTTTAAGAAATATGGGTGTACCTGGTAACACTTGTCCAGGGACCTGGAAATACACCGCCAGACTCCGAAGACTTTTTTTTTGGGGGGGGGGGGGGGGGGGGCACTTCCCTTTTCCCTGGCCTTACACTTACCATAATTTAATACTAGCAAATTAATTCCTGTAGGAGGTGCTGTTGATTTACAAATGGCCAGGATGGATCAGGTTACTAGGTTAGGACTTGTTTACTTATCTTGAATGTTATGTGGTTAGTCATAATTTCATTTAGTAAATGTACCAAAATAAGCAGAGTTTGCTGCAGCAAAGTGGCAGGTCGGCTTACCTTGCGGTGTGAAATGGAGATCTTGTTTTGAACCACACAGTTTTCATCTGAAAAAAGCTTTTTATCTGTCAGGCTTGGAGAGATGTATCTTGCTGTGCTTCCGTGAGACCGCTAGCTAATAGTGAATCAGATTAGTCCACGCTGCTGGGAGCACATCGTTTTTCCAGTTTTAATCACCAGACATTTAATATGCTTTAGCATTGACGCTCAAATATTTCCAAAATCCATCTGAGCCATTTCACTCACCTCCTTACCAAATGACGGCTGGGCCCAGAAGCTGTTGAAGGGTGCATCTTCCACACACCGCGCTTGGGAAGATCAGGAAGAAAGCTGCATTTCAACTTCGGTAGCTGGAGGATATTTAGAAATCTTATTGGGTTTTCTGAAAAGGAAACTTAGGTCGTTATCACTTCTTGAAAAGAGATACAGGCATGCACTAACTGTAGGCCTTGAGACTGTTTATTGGGTCAAAAAGTGGGAAATCCTTTTAAAGAGTTGTGAGGAACAAATAAGATGACAAAAAAAAAAAAAAAGTAAATGTCACCTCTGGCCAGCAATCTGCAATTCTTAAGACTTGGGAAATCGATGACAGCTGAGAGCTCTCCTGGTGAGATCCCTAAAACCGGTCCTGCTGATAGAAAGGAAACAGGTACTGATCACCTTCTCTCTTCCCTCCTCCCTTCCGGCCACACTAACCACCACCCTCAGGATGGAGCAGTAATAATGAAGCCAGCTGCCCGGTGAAATGCAGGAGCTGCCATTGCTGTAATGGGAAGACACGCACATTCTGGCCCAAACTGCCCGTGAGCCAGTCTCTTTGGCCCAAGGGGGAGGGAGGGGGCAGCAGCGGAGGTCCAGGGGCTCTGTCGCTGGCCACAGCGGAGCTTCTAAGGTCCTCGCTCGCCCTAAACTCAAAGGAAGCCAGAAAGGGGCTGCAGTGGGTGCTAGAGTGATCCCATCCCCCGAGGCAGCGCCACCCCTTCGAACTGTACGTTGCTTTCCTTCTAGACCGCGGTTGGAAACCTGAACACACCTCAAATCCAAGTGGAAAGGTTGAGGATTAGGGGGCGCATTCTTCTAAAAGATGCGCCCCGCGCGCAAGGCAGCCGCTGGATTCCCCACGCGCAGCGTGTAAGGGTTTAGCTCGCAGCCCCGGGCCACCGGGCCGCGGCCACAGGAGCTGCGCCCCGGGGCCCTGGCCCGCCAGTCCCCGCCTGAGCTCGCTCCTCGGCCGCCGGCGCGTTTCTTCCACGCAGGGCGGAGGGCGGACTCGCCTTTGGCAGGCCGGGAACCGAGCGAATTTCCCTCGTCGCTCGGGCTCCACAGGTGAAGAGGGCGCGTTAGGACGCCTCTGCGAACCTCGCTCCTGGAGCAAAAAGGAAAGTGTCACATCTCGCCAGCAATCTGCAAGCAGAAGACAGGTTGCCTGCGGGAGACGCCCTACCTATCACTTTGCATTTCTTCTGTATATGAGTTATCCTGAAATAGACGTTTGCAAAAACAATGCAAAATCTCTGTTGGGAATTTCCAAAGAAAAAGTGCAAGGGTGTTGGAAAACCTAAAAACTTGGGTTCCTTTCTTTCCTGGATCCCTGAGAACAAGGCCCTGGAACAGGACTCAAGGGCATTCCGAAACCTTCCCTTTAAACTAGAGTTGCAAACACACTATATATATTTATATCAGTAACGTATAGGGAAGGCATGTCTGTAATTAATTTACCTCGTACATATTTCTATAAACTCTTGAGTCTAGATAAGGATTTGGGGGGGCGGGTAAATAACACTGAACGGTAAAAATTACGGAGAAGGGATAATAACTGATTACCAATTTGAAAGTAAATAAACAGGTGACTTTTCCAGATCAAATCCCTCCTTGGGGTCGTTACAATAAATATCTCTGAAGGAAGCTCTCTATTTATGTTGTCATTGATTAATTCTTCACTACCTCATTTGATTTCGATTTAGAACGATTTGATTCTAATTTAATTAGCATGTAATTTGGATGTACATAATTACTGTAATTATGACATTCAGGTAAGGCAGCTTTAGGCTGAAAGGCAATTTCAAATTTTCTAGCAACCTACTTTGTGCTGAGAAATGGACAAGGACTTTGCGCCCTGCTATCCAAGTAGTAATTAGCACATCTCTGAAACAGGCAGTGCGGCGGGGTTTGTATTAAAACAGCAACTACAAATGCAGCCGAGAGTTATTGGCTGCTGAGGAGGTGGCTGTGAGTTCTCGGAAAGGGGAGAACTGAGACAGGGGAGCCCGGGGCTGCTGCGGTCCACGGCGCCCCAGCCGCCTCCCTTGTGCGCGAGCCTTAGAGGTGTAGCTTTTCCGATTAAAACACAATAAACGCGTGGGGTGGCAGGGAGGGGGGAGCAGGCAAGAAGCAGCAGCCATGCACCGCGTCTGAGGACCGGGGGTGGGGTAGTGGGACCGGGAAGAGGAGGGGAAGGGGCGGCGGGGGGAGGGCGATGCTCAGAGAGGAGAGAAAATTGGTCCACGCCCCCAGCTGTTATCAGATTTTAGATTTTTGTTTCAAAGGGAAAAAGGTGGGAACAAAGGGGGTCACAGTTTGCGCCTGCAAGGAAGTGAGGACCCTTCGGGAGGGGCTGGGACGACGAGGGGTCTCGGGGCTGCTGGACCTGCGCGCCCCTAAGGCCCGCGTCTGCCCAGCAGGCCACCCCGCGCTCGGTTCCGTCGGGACAGCTGCCTGGAGGACGCCCGCGAGGCGGGAGGCTGAGTGGGCCATCGCGGCCCCAGACTGGTGCAAGCTGTATGTCCCTCGCTTCCCTCCCTTCCAAGGGGGATCTGGGGACGTGGGACGGTCTGGTTGCCTGGTTTAATAATCAGCTTGGTTCCCAGGCCCGAGGGCTCTCGGCCCGCTTGGGAGTCACTGGGCAGAGAGCACGGGGGACTGTGCCCACGCCCGGGTCCCAACCCGGGGTCCAAGCCGCCACGGTCTGCACCCAGCGTGCTCAGCTCCGAGGCGGAAGATCCTGAGGCTGCCTCCTTGAAAGGAATATTAAATGCAACAATTCAAAGACTAGGGCCAAGCAGGACCTTCGTTATTTTGTTCACTTTGTTTGCATTTTTCAATTAGCATGTTTCAGAAATGACCTCCTTCTCTAGGAGCAGTGAACCGGCCATTGCTAAGCAGCGCCCCCCCAATTGCGGGGCTCTCCTCATCCCCCACCCGCACCCGCACCCTCACCCCATCCTCCAGCACACACACACACACACACAAAAAAAAAAAACTCGCTTTTCTTTTCTTGCTTCGCTGGGTTGTTGCAGCTGGCGGCAAACGCTGATCTCCCGGCTCAAATAGCCGCGAGCGAGGAGGACAGCGCGGCCTTCCCGGCCGGGAGCTCTAGATGGCGCCAGCGAGCCGTGCTCGCCAAGCTCCTTAAGGGAATCAAGAGCGACTGTCAAACATAAAAGCAAATCAGAGTTTTCAGTTTTTTTTAATGTGTTAAGAATGTTATTCCTTAAGAAAATTTGTAGCTAAATTATTCTCACTTAAAATAAACACTTAGTATACCAATTACACAAATGGGCGGGATTTATGTAAGATTTACTTCATCTGCATTTTTGTTGTGGGAGAGAGAGCCTTGGTGAATACAGAATAATAGATGCAAATAAGATTAGAGTTAAAATAAATAAAGTTTCCATCTGAATAAAAAAGAAATTCAATTTCACACGACTTGTAACGGTTTTGACACTTGTAACGGTCCAGACACGCCGTTTCAGGTGCACAATCTAATCTTGTCAAGATAATGTTGTGTCCCATCCTTGAGGAAAGAAAAAACGTTCTTTTCTTTTTTTCTTTTTCCTCATTGGTAGGATCCAATTCACTCCAAGGGGGGAAAGTAAGGCCGGAGCAAACGCCAGCGGATGGGTACAGATTGGACTAGGGAAAACTTGGTCTTCGTTCCTCTGCTGCGCTGGAAGCTGCCACCCAGCAGGAAACGCTGGGAGAGAACGGCTGAAACGAAATCCGGTTTCCCCTTGCCCGCCCGGACCTGAGTGGCACCCAAAGGTCCTGTCTGCGCCCCCCGCCTCACACCGGCCTCCAGGCTGCAGCCCTGTCCGAGCCCCCCCCCCCCTCTCCTCCCGGGCCCTGAGCTCCAGTAGCCCGGAGCCCCGAGGTGGCCCTGGGGAGACTGGGCCCCATCAGGTGAAGACCCAAGTCTCCCTGAGCTCTCCCCTCCCATGCACAGTCTCTCCGATTTGCTCGGCCTCCGCGGGTCTCCACGCGCCCAGGTCGTTTCCCAGAGTCCCCTTTGGTCCCCCTAGGACTGGGGGGCTCCAGGAGGAGGGGTGGGCTCTGTGTTGGCTTGTCGGTCTCCGCTCTCGGGGCAGGAGCCCCGCTCCCTGCAGGTTCAGGGGCTGCGAGCAGCGCTGGTCGGGCCGGGCGCTCGGGCCGGCCGCCGCCCGCCGCTCCCGGGAGCCGCGGTGATGGACGTCCGCTGACCCGCGGGGCAGAGGGAGCAGGCAGGGGCCTTGATCACTGGGCTGCGGAGCCAGCCGCACGGCCGGCGGGACCTGCATGGCCAGGCCCTTTGATCTGCTTTTATTATCCGCGAGAAACAAAGCTGCCTGGGACAGACGCCGGGCGCCCTGGCTCCCCGGGAAAGCCCAGCTCACCCTCACCACCGCGCCGCGGCCCCGCGCCCCCAGGGTGCCGGGCACCCTCTGGGCTTCCAGAGCTCCGGCCCCAAGCCCCCAGGGCAAATGCAACCTCTGCGGGCCCCTCGGGAACACGAACCCTGAACCAAAAGGCGCGCGGTGGGTGGGGTGGGAGGTCCCCGCTGGGAACGGTTTGGTTTGGGAGAGAAAATAGCCTGAGAAAAGGAAAGCTCGAGGAAGGAGAGCGGACCGTCCGTCTGAGGCTGCGGGGACCGCGAGGAGGGAAGGGAGGAAGCCCCGGAACCTCACGCTGCAAACTCCCCTCTGAGAACCTCTGCTCTGTGTTTTATCGCTACTTTGTGACGTGGCTTCTCAAAGCAGAGCTCCCGAGAAAACATACTGCTGTTAATAACAATGATTTATTTCTTTCTTCCCTAAACATCAAAACCTCATTCAAGTTCCCAAGATGGACAGTAATAAAAAAAATTTTTTCCCCCCAATTGGGGCTGACTTTGCTTGTGTTGCCTATTGTGTGAGGGAGCCTCTTAAAAACATTTTATTCTGTAAATACGCATTTTATTTTCTAAATTACCATTTTTTTCCCCGAATTGTGAAATTATCTCATTTACCAATTTTCTTTTCGTCTCCTCTCTCTCTTCTCCTCTCCCTCTCTTTTTTAAACTGGGGCTGTTAAGTTGGTGGTCAGAAGACAAAGAGAGTGAAAATAATTTTCATTTCAATAATTGCCTTCTGGTCAATTTAACTGTGCCTTATTTTGAAAGAGACTGTCTAAATGAGATTCCTGTCCCGAATGTGTTCCCAGGCCTGATCCCAGCCTTTAATTATTCCCGAGGTTTTTTTCTTCAGAATAAGACGCCGCACTGAGTAATCACAAAGAAGTCAGAGAGCATCCTTGAACCTTTTCAGAGGCAGCGCCACTGATATTCAAATAACCTGCGAGGGCCATTTGACGGGCGCGGGGACCTCGGCATTTCCAATTCACTATTTGCATAGATCAGCCGTCTTTGAAAAGGAAAGGAGCAGTTGTCTCCCATAACATTAAAAAGCCTAGTTATCAAATCAAGTGCTTAGTTTGGGGGGCTTTTAAAACGTTTACATTTTATCTCAGGTTGCCCTTTACCGTTTGACATGCAAATTTGGTGCAGTTAATTTAGACAATTAAAAAGATCTTCAAGGGAGCTTTGTCACGGAGAATATTTGGAGTTTTCCCCGTGGACCAGCTGAGATAAAGTTGGCCAGAACAAATGATGTCTAGGAGATTAATTAGATATTTGATAAGACATGAATCCCTAATAAGGGAATACAAGGCACAGGGGGCTGCTGTGTGCTCTAAGTCAAAATTAATAACATTTAACAAGATTTTCATTTAGGCATGAAATGTCTTTTCCGGAGTATTGACTCCAGCGATTTATTCCCTGGAGTTGCCTCCCAACAGAGGGCCTTGGGAAGGAAGGCTTCTTTTTAAAAGCTTTTCCCTTTCAGATTGTTTTTAAATCACTTTTTAAAAACAAATAAACCTGCGGGTGTTTTTCCTGACCCCTTCCAGGAGGTGTAAGCACCTCCCCAGTTAAAATTGTCAAAGACCTTTTTTTTTAGGCGTTCCAGAGTTTTAAAATGTCACCTTTTGAGAACTCTCTCATTAAGTAATACGACTACACGTTCTTATAACCCAATTTAATTTACGCTGTTAATATACAAATAAATAATTTTGACTCCTCAAAAAACGTATGTTTATGGCTTTTATAACTTACATGAACCTTCCATCACCTATAACTAACATTAAGGGAATTTTTATTCCCAACCAAAAATGTCGACCCACATAAAGGTTATTGAGGGAGGAACAGGATTTTAAAAAGGAAGTGTATTGTTCAGAGTCCTTTAATAATACCAAAATGAAAATTTGTCAGGATTTTCTTCATACAGATAAACGCATTTAATTTCTTTAGATGGCCTTAACTTATGAGTTTGTGAGTGAAATGATAACTCAACATTTTAAATATCTTTTACATATATATACTGACTTTCACAAAGTGCATCAGAAAATTAAAGAAAAAAAACTCCCTGAATTTCAGGAATTCACAAAAAGCAAAACAAAAACCCAAACAACTCTATTCGAATGAACATTTACAAGAAAATAAAAGAGAACATAATCTTTTGAACCCTATTTATACAGATGTTGTCAAATACAGAGCTGTCACTAGACTTCCAGTTTAATTTCTCACCTTATGCCTTTTATGATGCTTCTTTTTTTTTTAGGAAAAAAAAAGTCTCAATGTAAGTAGATATCAAGCAGGACTTGGAGTATTTTATATATAATATAATCCACACAAAAGGTCTGTTCGTATAGGTCCGGTTTCTTTGAAAGTGTTCTGACAGTTCCTTTGCAGGGTGGTGGCTTGTTTTTGGAGAAAAGGAAAGAGAAGGGGAACGGAGGGGGTGGAGGAGGGAGCGTTTCTGTGTATTGCTCTTCCCTCAAGAAGTTTGCGCGTGTGGTGTGTACGTGTGCCTGTGTGCGGGTGTGTGTGCTTTGGGTTGCGAGTCTCTCGGTGTGTGTGTGTGTGTGTGTGTGTGTGTGTGTGTGTCTGTGTGTGCCGTTTGTAAGTAGTGTTGTTGTGTCAGAGGATGGTTTGCTTTTGTTCCTGGACCACGCGTTCGATTCCCGTGTGAGCTCCGACAGCAAAGGGGAGCTCCCGGCGCGGCCGGCGAAGAGCGCCCGGGGAGCCGGCTTCCGCTCCACCTCGCGCCGGCCCGGGGGCGCCCCCGGAGCCCCAGCCCGTCCGTCCCCCGCTCGCTCGCTCGCCCTCGGAACCTCTCCTTTGCTCTCGACGTCTCTGCCCGCTGCTCGCAAGCGCCTTTCTCCTGATCGATCTCTAGGAGTCGCCGGGGCCGGACGCGGCTTCCTTGCCTCCCGCCGAGGCCGCCGCTGCTGCTGCTGCTGCTGCCGCCGCCGCCGCCGCCGCCGCCGCCGCCCGGGCGGCGCTGACCCCGGGATCGTGCAGGAGGAGGTCGGGGGACTCGGAGCGCGGCGTCTCCAGGTTGCTGGCGTCTGTGTCACTGTCGCTGCCCTTTTTGCCCCCGCCGCCCCCGCTGTGCGTCTTAATGTGTTTGCTCAGGTGGTCGCTGCGCATGAAGCGCTTGTTGCAGACCGGGCAGGCGAAGCGCTTCTCGCCCGTGTGGGTCCGCAGGTGCCGCTGCAGCTCGTCCGAGCGCGTGAAGCGCTTGCCGCAGAAGAGCCAGTTGCACACGAAGGGCCGCTCGCCCGTGTGCCAGCGCAGGTGCGCCTTCAGGTGCGACGTCTTGCCGTACACCTTGCCGCAGCCGGGGATGTGGCAGCTGTGCAGGCCCTTGCGCCGCAGGCTGGCGCCGGCGGGGCCCAGGCGCTCGGCCTCCTGGCAGTTGGGGCAGTCGCAGGTGGCGCGGCCCGAGTAGCGGCGGGCGGAGCGCGCCGAGCTCCCCCCGGCGGCGGCGGCGGCCGCGGCCCCCGAGATCATGGCGCTGGCGGCGGCGGCGGCCACCGCGGCGCTGGAGTCCGAGTAGGAGGGCAGCACCGGCTTGAAGCCGTCCTGGGCCAGCAGGTGCTGGCTGGTGGAGAGCAAGTGCGAGGCGGCGGCGGCCGAGGAGCCCAGGCCGGTGGAGCTGAAGGCCGAGTGCGTGAGCGAGCTGAAGTCGGGGTTGTAGGTGCCGAGCTGCGAGTGCAGCGAGGCCTGGGGGGCGCCCGAGTGCAGCGAGCCCTGCAGCCCCCCGGCGGCGGCGGGGCTCTGCACCTCCAGCCACGAGCCCGGGCTGCCGTGCACGTCCCACCACGACGACGCCGCCGCCGCCGCGCCGTTGGTCACCTCGCCCGCCGCCAGGCTCGAGTGGAAGCCCGACTTGTACCACGACTCGTACGGGTGCGCCATGCCCACGCGCGGGTACAGGCCGTCGGCCGCCGCCGCCGCGGGGTGCACCTTGGAGAGGAAGGCCGACTGGCCTCCCGCCTCCTGCGGGGACACCCCGGCCGCCGCCGCCGCCGCCGCCGCGGCCGCCGCCGAGTTGGAGAAGAGGCCGCCGTAGTCGCTGCTGAAGGCGGACGACGTGGGGGACGTGGAGGCCAGGCAGAAGGCGCTGTTGGCGGCCCCCGAGCCGCCCGCCAGGCCGCCCGAGCCGCGGCCGCCCGCGGCCACCGCGAAGCCCGAGAGGCTGGAGCCCAGGTTGCAGCTGGACGAGGAGCGCTTCCAGGGGTGGAAGCCGCCCTTGGCGAAGGCGCTCGACTCCGGCAGCGTCGTCAGCGGGCTCGTGTTGCCGATCTTGTTGCAGGTCGCCGCCAGCATGGCCAACGGGGTCGTTCCGAAGCGCGGCTCTTCCTAAAGGGGAGGTTGAGGGGGTAAGGGGCCGGGGGGGGGGGGGGGGCAAGAAGAATTGGGAGGAAGACACAAAGTGCACCCCGTGAGCGGTTTCGTCGCCCCGCGACGGGTCCCGGGGGATGGAGGGCGGGCGGGGGTCGTGGCGCCCCGGCTCCTGCCTCCTCCCCTCGCGCTCCACGAGGATGCGCCGCGCCCCGCGCGCACGGGACCCCGGCGATCGCCAGGACGAGGGCCCGGAGCCGGAAACTTGTTTTTCGGTGGGGTTACAAATCAAAGGGGTCTCGGTTCTCCCCGCCTCGGTCGCTACAACCCCTGCCCAGGATCAGATTCGTGTTGCTATCCTGCTGCTGGCCGTAAGCCCGTTCCTTCAAGGATGCCCCCCAAACCGCCCTTAGGGGCGAAGCACCGGGGTAAACACAACCACCACCATCTCCGGGTGAAGGCAGAGGCGGCTGAAACAGTGGCCTAGGGGCGGTGCGAGAGGGGGGGGACTTGGGGAATTCCTCCAAGGGTTGCTACTACTTGGTTCTTTTCTTTTCTTAATAGAAAATGTTTTAAATGTTTAATCAACCCCAAACCCGATGATGAAAACAAGAATTCACGGAGAAGCAACTCAGCGATGGATCTGAGGCACCAGCAAACCAGGGAGCCACAGAAGTGTAAATGTTTGTTAGCGTGACTACAAGAACTGCAAACCGATTAAGGCTGTTTTCTGGAAATACCACTGTCGCATAATTGCAACAATCTCCGAAGCGGGGTAGGGGGGTGGGGAGGGGAGATGAGGGAATGGGGGGTATACATCACGAAGGGGGAAGAAAATAAACCTTTAAGCTTTCTTAAAAAGCCAGATTTAACACGACTTGCTTAACAAATCCTTCTCTTACCAACGCACTTCCTTAGGTGCCCATCCCTTGGAAAGAATCGGTCCCTAAAACCTGGCAAAGTGCTGAAAGAAGTTGAAGCTTAACCAGTCTGGCAGCAACAGTGTCTCCCTCCCTCGCCGCGGGGCCCGGAGAAGCCATAAGGAACAATCACTCCAGTTACAACAAGCAAACGCGTCGCCGCCACACTGCTGACTTACCCCGAGGATGGACGTGGCCATAGCAGGTCCCTGGGCTGCGCGGCGGCGGGGCCGGGCGCGGGGCTGAGCCTGGCGGCCGCTGCGGGGGCGGGAGGAACTGCTCGGGTCCCGCGTCCCTGCGCTCGCTCGCGCCGAGCGGACTCCGGGCTCCCGCCGGCCAAACTCAGCCTAAGTGCGAGGCGCACCCGCTTTGAAGTGCCGCTGGCTGCGCCTCTCGCCCAATGAGGGCGCAGGCGCCGCGGCCGGGAGCGGCCCCGCAGCCAATCAGACGCGCCGGAGGGCCTGAGCCGGGGCTCCCGGCGCGTGCCAGTCAAGGCCCCTGAAGCGAGGAGGGGGGTCGCGGGGCTGGGGACTTGGGGAGATTACGGCGCAATTAAACATTTACGCTCACGCATCAAGCCCGGGTGTAAGTACCGTGGAGACCGAGCCACACCACACCCAAGCACCCCTCGGTGATGCAAGTTAGAGCTGACAGTCCCGCTCCACCCCCCACTTGTGGGAAAGGAAAGCAGGAGGGGAGGAGGCGCCGAGGTTGGAGCATCTGCGAGGCCCGAGTGGAGACGCAAATGTCAACGCTCAGCTCTCTCTGTGTGCCCGGGCTTCGCCTTCGGAACACAATTTCAGCTGGAATCCATCACGGTCGCTCGCTCGCGAAGTTTGTTTAGCATTGGCGTGTGTCTTCTACCCGGTTCCTTATTCCCACTTGGATTCAGTTTTACTCTGAATCCCACTGAGGGAGGGGAGAAAAAAAAAATAGGCCTCTTGGTCCCAGTCTACACCCACACAGACTTGGGAGGGCCTGCAGCCTGCTGCATCCCATCATTTCCCCCCAGCGGCCTAAGTGACTTCCTAATTGTCGCTCTGGCCTTTGACCCCGGGGAATCATGCAAGTGCCACTCACACCAGAAGCTGCTGGTGGTAATTGAGGCCACCCCCTTTGTACCTTTTCGCCAGGCGCCTAGATACCAGGTTAACCCAGTTGTCAAATAGGACTAAACAGTGGGACGTGCCTGATTATCTGCTGGGGGCTGGCAGGCGGTGGGTGGGAGGCATCCGCCGATACAACACGCCGCCGCGTGAAGCTGCTTATTTTCACCTTTTAACAACTTTGGAAACAGAGACCCGCGCGAGCCGCGTCCGCACCCCCCCCCCCCCCGACCGCCCCCCGCCGCCGAGGCTGCAGCTTGCTCGGCTGTTTGTTTAACCCGGTGGAGATGTGCGTGTCACGTTTCACCCAGAGTCGAGTTTTCTTGTTCCAGCTCCAGCCCACTCCCACGCCAGACCTCCTGGGCCTAGATGCTCTTCGGCGGCAAGAGGCCGAGGAGAGGGGCTCCCACAACCGCTCCGCCCCCCAGGCCTGGCTTTGGTGGATGTGCTTTGAAGGAGCCTCTTTCCGGGGACCTCCATCCGCGGTTGGGAGGGGGGGGAGGACGGGGTGGGGGAATGAGACTCCCCATTTTGCAGGCTTGGAAGCACCCTGAAGTCCCCTCCGGATCTTGTTCGTGTCCTCAGACAATTGCGCATCCCGAATGGAGTCCCTCAGCCACCACCGCTGAGCTGTTTGTTTTTCTCCTTTCTGGGTCTTGCTTTCTCTTTCTTCTGCCGGGCAGCCAGGAGCTGCTCTTTAACCAGAAAAGCCTGCGCCCTCGGACAGACCCCGGTGCCGGTTTTAATGCACCACCTTCCCAGCCAAACCCACATCCTGCTATTTAAAAGGCATTTTAAACCTCGACCCTCCAGTGGTTGGGTGCAGAACACAAGTTGTTGAGGAGGGGAAGCAAGTGAGGAGGACGTGGACTGGTGCTTTCTCTTCCCTTTTGCAGTATCTCTTCTTGACCCAAACCTGCAAAGCCAGCGTGGCTCTTCTCCCGGCCCTGAGACGGAGCCTGCGTGCGCCCCGGTGCCTCCGTGGGTGGGAGAGCGACCTGGGTCCGTTCTCTTCGCTTTTCTCTAGAATACCTTCGCTCAGAATGGTTTTCTCCCCTTTGGATTAAGGTGGCGAAAGAACCGAAGAAATTAGGACAGAAAAAGAGGAAGGAGAGGAGAGGAGTGAAAAGGCTCGCGTGACCGTATTGAAGCGCGTTGCCCCGAGGGGCTGGGGTGGAAACCCGCGGGGCCAGGGCAGAAGGCAGGTGTGCAAAGCCCGGGGTGCAGGGTGGAGTGGGGACCCAGGCAGCCTGGAAGAGCCAGCAAGCCCGGCAGGGGGACCCGGGAGCCGGTCCCAACAGGTGACTTGTGCCCTGGAAGGGAGGCTGGCGCTCGGCTCCCCGCGTCTCCGCGTGGATGTGCTGATAGAGGGATGGTGAAGCGGCAGCCAGGGTCTCCCATTCGCCCCGCGCAGCCTCGGGAGGGAGAGCGCCCCGAGTTCCTCCTTCCATCTCCTCCCCCACCCCCAACACACCCTCTCCTATGGAAACCCGACCAAGTAATAAATAAGACAATCCGGAAAGCCACTTAGCACGAGTGACATTTTGAAACCAACCGTTTTAAAACCGTTCACGCAGGCACCTCGCACTCCGGCGCCCTGCTTGGTTTGCCTTCCTCGGCTCGCCCTCCGCTCCCTCCCCCCTCCCGCGGGTTTCAGTGCGGTTCCAGCTGTCAGACACCCTTCCCCAGGCCCAGGGATATTCCTTCAGTTACAGGCATCGTATCACAAAAGTTAGGGAGATCTTCCAAACCAATGCCCCCAGCCACTTCCCATCTAAGGCGGGGCCCCAAGGAAATCTTTCTGAAGATGTCCACTTTTGTGTGTGTGTGTGTGTGTGTGTGTGACAGCTCCCCCCCCCCCCATCCTCTAAAAATCTAGTTTTTAAACAAAGATCAACGTGTTATGCTAAAGTGTTGAGCTGACTGTTAAAACATTTGGGGAAATAATGACAATGTAACAAAGGCCTGGTTTGGAGTGAATCATCACCCTTTTTAAAAGTTAAAGCAATTTTCAGGAGAATAGCTTTCAGCAAACGCTTTACATTATTCAAAACGGCCAAATAATGCTCTATTATAGCGCCTGAATGCTGCCAGTCAGCCCCTAAGTGCAATTTGTGCAAAGGCCCCGGTGCCTTATCTCCACTTCTTTATAAAGAGGTGAATATAAAACAATTTCTTCCAAACCCAGACAGAGAGCACGAAAATTGCTTCCCTTTCTGCAATCAGGGCAATTTAACTGGAGTGCAATTAGCACTATTAAATGTCGATTCTGCATAAACAAATCTGACTGAGCAGCGAAAGTGGGGTGAGAACCTCATATACACTGAAACTGATTTTTAAAATTATGTATCCGGGTCCTTTACAATTGATCCGTGACGTTTTCATCTTGGAATATATTTACATCATAAATACACTATGGTTAAATCAACGTGATTTTTTTTTTTGCAAAAAAAAAATTCAATAGGAATCCTAATAAAGAAGAATAGGGTAATTAAAGGGAGACTTCACTTCCTTTGAACAAATATTGTTTCCTCCATCTTGCCTCTGCTGAGAGCTTTGATCTGGAGCAACTGCTCAAGTTGCTGCATTTAGGAAGCAAAGCCGGGAAAACAATTCCGTCATTAGCACTGACCCGAGGGATTGGAGCTCCTTCGCCAAGGGAGATGGGGGTGGGTGGGGATGGGAGGCTTCTCCCTAAAGCACCGGTAATAGGGTGAGGTCTAGGAGGACCTGTTATCTTCTGAAAAAACTCAAAATATTAGTTGGGAGACTTGAGGCCTTCAGCAGGAGGGGAGGCGTGGGGGAAAGGAGGAACTGAAGGCTCAGCCTGGGCTCCCCTGTCAGGTGCCAGAGCTGGCCATCCATGCAGGGATGGTCAGGGGTGGAGAGAGGGGAGAGGCAGGAGAGAGGAACCCATGAAAAGCTTGTATCTGACCTGTCCTCCTCCTACTTTTCTTTACTTATTTGCTAGCCCACAAGGCTCCCTTTTAGAATCATTTGTGCAATTAATTATGCCTTTCATTTGCATGACCTACGCTAGAGCAATGATTATCAGGTTAGCACGGTGTGGGAGTTGGGGAGATACATTAATAACTTGAGTTAAAAAGGAAAAAAGGAAAAAAAGGAAAAAAGAAGAAAAAAAAAGAAGCTACCCTGTGTACTATAGTCACCTGCCATGAACAAGGATGGAGGAAGCGTATAGACCATAGGTGCCTGTTGAGTGCTGGCGAATCCTTCCCACTGTTGGGTTTTGCCAGTTGTGGGTGCAAATGAAATGCAGCTTTTGATTAGAAGGGAATCTTTTATAGTTAACGCACAGTCGATTTTTAAAAAGCACCAGCCCTGAGATCATATAGATGGAGAAAATTAATTGAAAATTGAGAAACTCTCCCACAATTTCCGTTGAGCTTTCATTTAATATTTGTTCTAGAATGCTCTCATTCCAGCCCAACTCTTGCAAATAAAAGAGCCAGAAAGGATCAGTAGGCCAATGGAACTTTCATCTTTTCTTCATCTCAGAAGTGTGACAGCTATTTAGAGGTGGCACAAGATGCAAATCCATCTTGTCTTGTAAGGTCTACCGGAGAAGCTAAAGACTCTTCATCCATTAAGTGTACTCCACACACATGCTACAGACCGGCTGCAAGATGTATCTGCGCCATGTATTTTAAGGCTGCCTTGGTCTGTTTATCTGAGCCAAAAATGCATTAACAATTAAAGGGAAGACTCTGGTGTGTCAAAGGAAGGAAGGTAGCTGTAGACTGTGTGATGATTTTAATGACTGCAATTATTGGGAGATTATTCGACAAGCATCATAGATTTGTTTACTGCATTACTTGGAAACTATGGGGGGCCTATTCAGCTTGGGTGTTTATCTTCCTCCCTCTCCTCGATTATCAGACAGGGTTCCCAGACCTAAGCAAATGTGACATTCAGTGTTGACTCTCTTGTCCTTTTTAGAGCATTTCAACCCAAATGAAGGACATTTGTTGTCTCGGCCAACTCTAATGGAACCATCTCTGGAGACATGAAAGCAGTCTTTTCTCATGGACTCTGAGCTAATATATTAAAACAAAGCCAATGGCCAGAGGATTCTGGTCACTAGTCAACTTCTCCGAGCCAGGGGGCCAGTGTCTCCCTTTCATAGGCAGCCATTGAGGAGACTTGCAGCTCTTCCTCCTTCACCCAGGGCTTGGAGGAAGCACTGTTGCTGCAAGATGTTAAACATAAGCTTCCGCATATCTCCAGGACTCCATATTTTTCCTTCCTTGCTTTTAACAAGCCCCTCATACCACATATTATTTCCTATCACAACTCCTGTTCTTGCCCTGA